CATTCTGACCACCTCCTTGTTTCTACGCTCATTGTCCATTTTATCAGCTCCACTTACTGTATAGGTGCACTTTGTAGTTCTACAGTTACAGACTGTAGTCCATCTGTTTCTCTGCATACTTTGTTAGCCCCCTTTTACCCTGTTCTTCAGTGGTCAGGACCCCCATGGACCCTCACAGAGCAGGTACTATTTGGTGGATCATTCTCAGCACTGCAGTAACACTGATGTGGTGGTGGTGTGTTAGTGTGTGTTGTGCTGGTCTGAGTGGATCAGACACAGCAGTGCTGCTGGAGTTTTTAAACACCTCAGTGTCACTGCTGGACTGAGAATAGTCCACCAACCAAAATATCCAGCCAACAGCGTCCTGTGGGCAGCGTCCTGTGACCACTGATGAAGGACTAGAGGATGACCAACACAAACTGTGCAGCAGCAGATGAGCTATCGTCTCTGACTTTACATCTACAAGGTGGACTGACAAGGTAGGAGTGTCTAATAGAGTGGACAGTGAGTGGACACAGTGTTTAAAAACTCCAGCAGCACTGCTGTGTCTGATCCACTCAGACCAGCGCAACACACGCTAACACCACCACCACGTCAGTGCTGAGAATGATCCACCACCCAAATAGTGCCTGCTCTGTGAGGGTCCATGGGGGTCCTGACCACTGAAGAACAGGGTAAAAGGGGGCTAACAAAGTATCAGAGGAACAGATGGACTACAGTTACATGTTATGCCTGATCGGTGTAAATAAACTTTGACCTGACTTGACTTGGTGTACATATAGCTGTGTATTCACCCTCCAGCAGCTTAGTTCCGCCTGTTTGTAATGAAGTTATAAGGAGTGCTCAGCTTTGCTCATTGAATGAGGCAAAATACAGGGCAATCAGAACAGAGCTCATTTACATATATTCGTCTTAAAGGTACAGTAACAAAAACAGCCTATTTAGTTCCAAGGGATGAAGAAAGCATGGAAAATGATCATGTAAAAACTAATATTGACCATTTTTGGTGCATAAAACCACAATATTTAGTGGACCACAGTGGACAAACATGCAGGCAAATCCAAGATAAATGTGAGATCTGGGCCCTTTAACGGTCAGAGTTCCCTGTAAACTCAGTCTCATTGATCTGAGGCGCTAAAGCTGAAGTGAGCCAGTTTTCTCTGCTCTTTCTGGGCCCCTGAGGCTTCGTCATCTCAGCCAATCAGAACTAAAAGTGCTGAGTCGACACAGCTCACGAAGGCCGAGTGGAGTCATCTCCGCCAAAAAGCATGGATCCACTTTAGAGAGGACTGTAGAACGTCAGATCTGCTGACCGGTCTGTTTTTATGTGTGCTGTGGGATTTTCATTCAGGGAATGACGGTTTGCTTTGAGGAACATTGTGAGGAAACAGGACGTTTCTGGTGCGCGTGTGTGATGAGGACTGACCGCTGCCTGCTTATCCTCTGCAGAAAGCAGTTCTGCCTGGTTACTCAGTGAATCAGCTTTGAATTTGTTCAGTAGTGTCTCCAAAACACCACCTCATTCTTTTAGTACACCCTTAAAAAGATGGTTCTTCAAGGGTTCTTTAATAAAGAAAATGGTTCTATATAGAACCATGAACACTCAAAGAACCCTTTGCATGATTTAAGATCATGAAAAGATTCTTCAGATTGATGGAGAATGTGCTTTTTGGAAGTGGTACTATAGCACCTGACCGGGTTCTTCTATTGTTACGGTGTACCGATTTGGGTGCTATATAGACGTGTCTACAGTACATTCAAGCACATTTTGCATTAGTCTGAAGAACCCTTTCATGATGCAAAAGGATAATGGTTCTATATAGAACCTTTTACCAAAGAACTCTTGAGCAACCTCCTTTTTTAAGAGTATTTTTTTTAAGAGAGGGTTCTTTTCAGCACCCAAAAGGGTTCTTTTGTTGTTAAAAGCTTGACATTGTAACAATATAAGAATTTTGGGTGCTATACAGAACCTTTTCCAAAAAGCTTCTATATAGAACCATCTACAGCATGTTCTCAGTCAGGTCTATTCATGATCCAAAGAACCCTTTAATCATGCAAAAGGTTTTTTGATTGTTCATGGTTCTACACAGAACCATTTTCTTTACTGAAGAACCCTTGAAGAACCATCTTTTTAAGAGTGTATATAGAACTATTTTGAAAAGAGTTCTCTTTAGCACCCAAAAGAGTTCTTCTATTGTTACAAGCTTAACATTGTAACAATAGAAGAACGCTTTTATGTGTTATAAAGAACCTTTTCCGAAAAGTTTCTATATAGAACCATCTACAGCACGTTCTCCGTCAGGTCTATTCATGATCCAAAGAACACTTTAATCATGCAAAGGGTTTATTGCTTGCTTATGGTTCTATATAGAACCATTTTCTTTGCTAAAGAACCCTTGAAGAACCATCTTTTTTAGGAGTGTACTTCAGTAACTCGTTATTTGGGAATAAGGTCAGTTCCGTAAATTCCATTTTATTATCCAGTACGTTTTTCGGGCTGATGTAAGATCGGCTCCTTCAGTCTTTCCCCGTGTTTTCTCAGTGAGCGGTTCATGATTCCTTTAGTGCCGCTCTGGAACCAACATTCAGCCCAGGTTCCTTGGCTGCTGTCAGAAACAGCTGTGACTTTTCGCAGAGTCATTTATTTTCATAAGGAATCTCTGCACACAGTGATGTAATAAAGCAGCTAACAGGATATTTACATTGTAGTCTGGCCTGTTGAGATCGTTTGTGTGGACACACAGGTGTGCAGCAGAGTTCCACCACACAAACATCTCTACCAGCAGGCTTTCATTCGGTTCTACCTTTCGGGCACACACACGTTCTAAACCGCTTACCCTTATTAGAGCTGGGCGATATGCCCAAACACGTTATCACGATAAACAAAACTCATATCGTTCGATATCGATACATATCGAGATAAATGTCAAATCATGATTTCTTTCACGTTTGAAGGCTGATTTTGCTCCTGGGTGGTTAACTGTGGTTAACTGTGGTTAACTGTGGTTTTAAACTATCACGTATGGTCGGATCATGATAACCACTCACCAAACAGTGGAACGTTTCACTGATCTGTCAGGGAAGAGTGGGAGAAGGTTTCTGAGCTGTTTTTATCAGCTTGAAAAGCACAGCTGCAATTTTTGTAATAGTCATGATTTAAGAAAGAAAACAGATTATTTTAGCGGTCTGGTGTCGAGCGCTCGGCTACCCCGCTACAAACGCTAAACAAGTGGCCAACAACAGTGCTAAATTCTTTAGTTTCTCAACAACGTCCACTCGGTTCGGTAGGTCACTGCTGTCACTCCTACCACTTCCATGTCAGAGCAGATCACAGTATTCAGACACCAGCTAGACGGCTGGGTTTCTCTGTGCTATCGTAGTAGTTTAAGGAGTGAACCGCAGTATATCTGACGCTCACTGTGTAAAAGCCTTATCTGCAGTGTGAATCTCTCACACCAGTCACTGAGTCCTCCTTTTAGGCATGTTTAAACTGAAAGCGGTGATTTTGTGTCTTGTTTGATCTACAGTATCATCAGTTCACCGTGTTGTGACGGAGCGCTGCTTCAAGTTAGCCAGCAGCTAAAAACAGCTAGCCTGGAGAGAGAGCGCTCTCCCGCTCTCCAATGCCTCACAGCTTCCTCAGTTTACTTTTGAACATGAACCACTTCTTTCTTTCACTTTCGTTGCTCGAGAATGCACTAATACTAAAATATGACGGTTTGGCGCTGTAACACGGCGCTGCAGACGTGATTTAACACCGCTAAAGTTGTTAGGATGCACGGAAAGAGGTGAGTTCGCTGTAGGACAGTACAGTTACACCACTGACCTCGTCACTCACACTCGGTCACAGGAGAACAGATCGCCGGTCGCTCCACTCAAACAGGGACTGTATAACTCCGCGTTTCAGGCGTTGCTAAAGTATATTTGGCAACCCTTTTTTTTAACTCGTGGCCCCCTCCCTCTCTGATCAAGTCGAAAAATTCGGAAGTGCGCCCTCTCCTGGCGACAGCAGTGTAGTGTCGCTTTCCTTGCAGTAGAAAACGCCACCAGGGCTTTCGGTAAAACGTGGAAGTGTGAGAGTGGTGTATTATATCGAACATTTATCGAACCTGTCATATCGCTCTATTGAGGAAAAGTTATATCGCGATACTTATCGTTATCGTTTTATCGCCCAGCCCTAACCCTTATGCGGAAGGCGGGAAACACCCTGGACAGGTCACCAGTCCACTGTAGGCCAGCAGATGTACACATACATACACATTCACACCTAGGGGCAGTTTAGCATCTCCAGTTGGCCTGACTGCATGTCTTTTGACTGAACAATGATGACACAATTTCATTACATTGGTCCTGCTGGGTGTTGGGCCTGAACTCATTCAGTCCTGCCATGGGTGCTGTTTTGATGGGTATTATTCTGGAGTATTTGAAGCAGGAAGACGCTTCAAACATCTCCGGTGATCTGTTCAAGATCTGCTCAGCACAAATCTCCCGACAGAGGAGTGAAACACCATCTGGGCCGGGCGCTTTCCTAACTCACTGTGGTTGCGCAAACGTGTTAATCTCAGGGCAGGAAATAAGAAGCCTCGGCCGTCGACATCAGAACAGACTTTCACAACTTGTACATTTGCAAGACGTTGACTGGGTGTAGATTCATGAATGGATGACAGACGAGCGAAGTATTTGCAAACTGAAAACACGCTCACTAAAGCTTTGACGGGCAGAGTATGTCACTCTGAAATACTGCAGAAGTCCTGAATTATAGTTGGTATACGGGGTGAAACCCAGAGCTAAAGCCATTACTGCACTTTTTCACACGCACACACGATCGCGTGATGTTTATACAGTGAACAACTGCAATGTGTACATTTATCTCTTTCTCACATTCAGATTGAAATGACTTTATTGCCTTGAGCTGTAATTAACAATGAATGGAGTCTAACAGTAATAGTGATGATAATATTCAAAAACATTAATAAATGTCTCTCTTTGTTTTCTCTCAGATGACCGGTATCAGGATGGCATGCAGATGGAGTTCAAGTCCAATCAGTGGTTTGGTGCCACAGTTCGTTCCGATGGAGAACACATCCTGGTAAACCTGCTCTGCTGTCTGTCTGCGCTCATCTTTCATGCTTAAACACTGCAATAAATGGCATCTTGTCAAGTGAAACGATCTTAAATCTAGTGGATGTATCTAATATTTCTAATATTGAGATGATTGTGCACTTATTATAAGATTATCTAGCTTATTTTCACTTTTAACTGGTTTTAAGTAATTTTATGAAGTAAAATGATCTCACTATTCTGGCAGATAATTTAGCTTAGTAGTGAGATAATTTTACTTAATAAAACTACTTAAACAAAAAATGCCTAGAAAAAAGGAAAATAATCTCAAATTAAGCTCACAACAATCTTAACAGGAGGAATATAAGATTTATTGACTATATTTAAGATAATTTTGCCTCAAAAGATACCACTTATTGGAAGTGTAATTAGGGTAGCGAGTAATGATTATTTCTATAATTAATTAATGTATCAATTAATTTTCAGTTCATCGACTAAGAACGTTGGGCCTCATTCACTAATGTCTTCCCTAGTTTGTTCTTAAACGTGTTCTTGATAAAGGTCCTAAGAAAAAGTCTACATCAGATTCATGCCGTGTTCTTAAAGCACAGAACTGTTCTCACCTTTGTGCTCTTGAGTGTGTGTAGATTCTGTTCTTACCTAAGAACCCCAGATAAGAGAACACTGGTGAATCAGACTCTTCATGAAAGTTGCGTAAGTGGGCTTTAAGAAAAAAATTCTTCTTAAGAACGGTTTCTGAATGAGGCCCAGTTCTTCTGTGGTTCCTCTCTTTCACCATCACTCAAAGTTTAGCTTTCTCTTTCTAGTTTGCTTTTGACTGAAAGACAATGAGCCTTTTTCGGAATTGATGGCTTTGTTAAAGCTTTATGGGGAAGGACAAGCCGTATATATGTATACTGTGGGCACATTAGAGTTAGAGAAAAGGGGAATTTCGTTTCTGCATAATTCAGTGTGTGAGATGTAATCAGAGAGATTCAGAGTGGTTTGGTGTGAAATGGTTCAGATGTCTTTACAGTGGTGGTGATAGGAACCAGGGGTCGCCATGACTACAACACAGATATAGACATTTTATTTACTATCCAAAACCACCAGTGAACCTACACGAGTCTTCTGAGTTTATATGGAATGTTGATGATGGCATGAAGTTTTCTTTGGGGACTATTTTGCCTCACAACACCCTGCATGTATCCCTCCACCATGAATAGACTTATAAGACTTCTCAAAATTATCAGAAACAGGTGGACACTGTTACCATAAAACAGTCAGTGGACGTCTGGTTCCTATCACCACCACTGTGAACAGTTCTGACTCTGTAAGTTTCTATACAGTGAAAACTTCACATCAGACCACTCTGAATGACTCTGCTTATGGCTTAAGCATTTCATAATGGAGAAATTTGGAAAACTTGGACTTCCAATTTAACCCATGTAGAGGAAAAAAGACTCCCTGAGGATTTAATCATGAGCCTTTAGACTAAACTGCCTCTGAAATGTTGACATACTCTCACAGTCAGGTGTCCAGGCCTTTGAGTGCTGCTGTAAATCAGTCGTGAGTAATGGAGTAGTTCATGTGTGTAAGGTGTGTGTGTTGGTCGTGTGCAGGCGTGTGCCCCGCTGTATCAGTGGAGCACGTACGGGTATAAGGAACGCGAGCCTGTCGGAACCTGCTACCTGAAGAAGGGATCAACGGTGGTGGAGTACTCGCCCTGCCGCTCAGGTAAAGATCATAACCGCAGGTGAAGGGCGTGTCTGTTCGTTTATGACTGTGGAAGGGAACAGGATGCAGGCACGCAGCTTACCTAAGATAGCTAATGTTATCTTAGGCTGTCACTAATCTACAGTACTGTGCAAAAGTCAGAGACCATCCTCCATTAATTTAGTTATTCATTTTCAGCTTCATAAAGTCACACAGAAGCCTCAGCAACTAAATCAGTGTTCAGTGTGTTGCTCTTTCCCTTTATTCCAGCTTCCATTCTTTTCAGGAGACTCACTTTCAGTTCCTCAAAGAATCTGCAGACACACCTCCAAAGTTCAGTCTTAGAAGCTGGTTGATCATTTTCTGAAGTAATCAAACACATTCAGTGGTGTTGAGGTCTGGACTCTGGGGTGGTCAGTCCATCGTTCAGCTTCTTTGTTTGATGTGTCCGTCTCCTTTTCTCAGTGAGGTTCTTCTTGACAGCTACACATCCTTTCAGACCCACAGCGCTGAGTCGTCTTCTCACAGTGGAAGGATGGACAGAAACACCTGTGGATGTTTTCAGATCTGAAGCAGCTTGATTTTCTCCTCTCTCTCAGAGATGAAAGCTTTAAGTTCTGTTTATCTGATGGGGGCAGTTTTGGGGTCGACCAGGTCTTCCAGGTGGTTGTTAGGAGCCACATTTTCTTTGTAGCTTTCAATCATGTTATGTATTGTACCTTTGAATAATGTGTACTGAATGGTGTTTATATGTAGAAGTTAAGTAAATGAAGGGTGGTCTCTGACTTCTGCTCAGTGCAGTATGTGTGTCTGAGTGATCCTGTGTTGGTGACTCTGGGTCAGTGTGTGACTCAGTTCCTCTGTCTGAGCTCTATCAGTGCGTGTCTGACTGTGTTTAGGTGTTTTCCTTTTTGAATTCTTGACCCTGTACAGTGTTATGCGTGTCTGTGCACGTGGGTGTGAGTGTGTACATTAAGTGTGTGTGTTTCTGCAGGTTCACCCACGCCTGAAGGTCAGGGTTTTTGCCAGGCAGGATTCAGTGCTGACATTATAAAGGTAGGAGCTCAAGCTCCACAAACACAATCTACACAAAGTATCAGCTGAGTCAGAGTTTGCAGAGTTTCAAAGAAAATCCAGTGAACAAGTCTAGACAGAATAAACATCTTTACAAAATCTGGTCTGAGCAAACGCATTACAGCCGCAGTCGCACTGGAAAATTGCAGGTCTTAACTGACCACGACTGGACAGAAGATTAGTTAGTAGCAGAAGACGTTAGTAAGCAGCTAGTAAGCTAGCTCGCTAACCATCAGGGCTGAAGTTCAGTCTGGAAAAACAGTGTTCAGATTTATATTCGAAATCACATTTGGGAAAGGAGGATTCAGAATTACATTTTTTTATACAAGCAGTATTTGGAATTACATTTTGTGAAAACAGTACTCAGAATTACATTTTGGAGAGGCTCTATTCGGAATTACATTTTGGAAAAGCAGGATCCGGAATTACACTTTGGAAAAACAGTATTCAGAATTACATTTTGGAAAAGCAGGATCCGGAATTACACTTCGGAAAAACAGTATTCAGAATTACATTTTGGAGAGGCTCTATTCGGAATTACATTTTGGAAAAGCAGGATCCGGAATTACACTTTGGAAAAACAGTATTCAGAATTACATTTTGGAAAAGCAGGATCCGGAATTACACTTTGGAAAAACAGTATTCAGAATTAGATTTTGGAAAAAGCAGTAATCAGAATTAGATTTTGGAAAAAGCAGTAATTAGAATTAGATTTTGGAAAAAGCAGTGTTCAGAATGAGATTTTGGAAAAACAGTATCTGGAATAACATTCTGGAAAACAGGATCTGGAATTACATTTTGGAAAGCAGTTTTTGGAATTACATTTTAGAAAAACAATGTTTGGAATTACATTTTGGAAAAAGCAATATTTGAAATTACATTTTGGAAAAAGCAATATTCAGAATTAAGTTTTGGAAAAACAATATTTGCAGTTAGATTTTGGAAAAGCAATATTTGGAATTACATTTTGGAAAAACAGGACCTGGAATGGCGCTTTGGAAAAACAGTATTCGGAATTACCTTTTGGAAAGGCGGTATTTGAAATTATGTTTTGGAAAGTTTTCGGAATACCAGAAGCAGTCTGAATACAGCTTTTTCGAAATGGACAGAATAGAGACTCTTCATTTTTGAATTCTGAACACATTCCTAATGTATCTGCTTTGTCTGCTGATGACTGGTGACATTTTTGTTCTGACGTTGATTTGTATCAACACTTCTTCACGTAGGTGTCATGTAGCCTTATGAACACTGTCCTACTGTAAATTACCAGACAGTCATACAGTCTTTAAAATAAACTTCAGGGCCTGTTTCTGAACTGTTTTCCCGTCTGAGTCAGAGGAGAGAGGACGGAGTAAGAGCTGGTAGGATATTGAGTTCAGGTTCAGATGAAGCCTCAGCTGCGGATCGTTGTAGAGAACGTGCTGAAGTTCAGTCTTCAGATGGTCTTGTTTTTAGAACTCTTAAGCCAGATTGTTATTTATTCAGCTGAAAGGTTTTGTTGCTGTAGGATTTTACTGTACTGTACTGTAGACCGTTTCCCACAGTTCACACATCAGTGCCTAATTTACACCCTCACTGTTGAAGAAATGATCAAACAAAGATTTCAAAACTATAAAAAACTTCGGAGAGCTTTCAGATGTTGTTTGTCTGATAGTAGAAAGCAGCAAATTTAGAAAATATAACTGTCCTTCATTTCAGTATTTCACTGTGGGTGTTTTTACTTGGTCAGCATTCAGATCTAAGGTGTAGTGATTGAATGTGAACAGACAGCTGTGAAGGTGCTGCACTAACTACAGTTCTGAAAACTAATAAAGGAATTTAAAATGATTTTTTTCCCTCAAAAACTTCTTCATGACACGCCTAGTCAGTGTAGTACTTATACATCCAGTGTTGGTTTGAATGCTGTGTTTCTTTGTCTGTTGTTTAGTTGATTTGCTCTTCTTTCCCTCGTAGAATAAACGGGTCGTGATTGGAGGGCCTGGAAGCTTTTACTGGCAAGGTAAGCTCAGTTGTTCTGGGATGTTCTGGGATGTTCTGACTTTTATTTGAGTTATTCTGAGTTTGTCTGAATTAGTCTGTCTGAGTTAGTCTGATTTATTTGTTTTATTCATGGTTCTTGTGAATTGTTTTTGATTATTTCTAGGTTATTTTAGGTTAGTCTGAGTTATTTGTGGTTAGTCTGAATTGATTGGGGTTATTCTTGGTTAGTCTGATTTATTCAGGGTTAGTCTGATTTATTCAGGGTAGTTTGAATTAGTCTGATTTATTCAGGGTTAGTCTGATTTATTCAGGGTAGTTTGAATTAGTCTGATTTATTCAGGGTTAGTCTGATTTATTCAGGGTTAGTCTGAGTTAGTCAGGGTTAGTCTGAGTTAGTCAGGGTTATTTGGGGTTAGTCTGATTTATTCAGAGTAGCCTGAATTAGTCTGATTTATTCAGGCTTAGTCTGATTTATTTGTGGTTAGTGTGACTTAGTCTGGGCTATTCTGGGTTTATTTGGGGTTAGTCTGGATAATCTCTGTTGATCTGTTTTAGTCTGATTTATTTGGACTTAATTTAATTATTATTAATTAGAATTAAAATGAATTATTTTGTGCACTATAAAGGTAAAGGTCAGGGGTGAATGACGGTGCAGTGAAGAGTTTCTGCTATGATTAAAGCGATAATTTGCCAAAAGACTGAATTCACACAGATTTCCATCATTACCCAAATATAGTTGATCAGCCAAGACGGGTCTGAAGTTTGCTTCTTTAGTTTTAGCACTGAAGCCACGAGACTAATATAGCTAACAAGTAATGAAACCTTTACCCCATATAGCATAAAGCAAACCGCATAACCTAAATCATCACTGTAAATAATGGAAATAGCTAAAAAAGAATCAACCATATCAAAGTCTCAATTATGTCCATAATTTAGTCCATGTTTACAGATAGCAGTGAGTCATAAAGAGCCAGAAACCACATAATCAAGTCTATTAGAGATGCTGAACACCTCCACACGGTCATGATTTAAGCGTGCAGTGTTTAGAGGGGAATAAAGCTGAGAAAGTTGAGTGGCTGATGTTGGCAGGATGTGTTGAAAGTGTTATTTTCTCTGGTCTCGTTCCATGATGACCTCAGTGGGCGTGTTCAGCTCAGACTGTACTCCAACCTCAGCAGCTTCAGCAGTGAAAACTGTTCTAGTGCTTTTTAATGTATCTTTGTATTGACATGTATTAGGAGTGGGTGTGGTTATTCAAGTATACAAACATTCAAATTCATAATAGGCTGCTGCTCAAATGGCTCACTACTCCCTACGTAGTGCACTTTGTAGGTCATGAAATAACAGTTTCTACCCAAACCGTGTGTTTATGTCTTGTAGAAAGCCATTTATATACAGCCAAAGCTGCATGACTCCATATTTGTAGCATTTAATGCACTGTTTGGATGTTGAAGCTGCTATTTCATCACCTGTGCTGTGGACTACGTAGGGAGGAGGGGTCAATTTGAGACTCAGCCTTAGCCTTATCGGCTATTTGAATAGGAAATGCATTATTTTGAATAAGCAAATAAAAGCAACCGTGTGTACTTTGTTATTTTTAAGTTAGCGTTACTGAGTCGTGTGCACTTTGTGCCGCAGAGTCATGCTTCGTGTGCAAAAGTTTGGACGCCCCTGACGTTTTTGTTGATTTTCTACTTGAAAATAAGTGAACGCATCCTCTACAGAGAACACACATGCACATTTTGTTGCACAATTACTGTTTATTTGCTTAGTTTAACATATTGGAAAAAATAAAATATAAAATGTGGGTTGTGCAAAAGTTATGGCACCTTTTGTTCTTCATGTTTTGTTTTTTTCTAACGTGTCAAACTCAGCAAAAAACCAGTAATTGTGCGGTAAAAGCTGCTAAGTGTGCAGAAGCGTGTTCTCTGTAGAGGATGTGTTAACAGAGCACACAGTTTAAAGGAGGGTGTTAAAAACTTTAGCATACGCTTAGCAAAAACACAAAACATGTGAGGAACATCCATGATATGGGCCCCTTAAAGTATCTTACAATTAGAATACATTAAAAAAACATATTCGTAATAAAATCAAAGCCATTCTGTAATATTAAGAATATTGAATAATGCAGGTTACAATTAGCCCAAAATTATATATGATGAGTGGCCAGCTTGAGGCTACATTTGACTACCGACCAAGACAGATATCTCCTTTGTTATAGAGGATGTGTTAAAAAAGTGTATTCTACTTCTTTGGTCTTCCCCTCAGACTCCGTCTCTAAATTTATGGCTTTCCCAAACAGCCCCCTGACTTCCCCTTCAGAAATGAACTCTTGCCTAAGCACCAAAAATCTGAAAACTTTTGGCGAACATGGTTTCCCCACTGGAATTATATCGAAAATCTCTCTTAAGTAGTTTTATTGACCTATAAGTAACTACAGGGAGATTCAAAAAGATTCATCTGATTTCAAAACGATTCATGTGAATCATTTCAGATCAATGCAGTGAACTGTAAATGGTTTAAATGAGCATAAAGTTTATTATATAATTGTACAAGGTCTCAGTATGAACCTCCTCCAGCTGTACGGACATCAACGCCATAGTCAAATTCATCCCATACTGGGTTGAGCATGTCGGGTGTCGCTGCACTCACGGCTCTTTCAGTGCGATTTCGGAGATCATCCAGTGTTGTGGAACCAACGACGAACGCTCTGAGCTGTTGGAGCTTCACTGCCCACGAAAATCACACTGCACAGTTATGATGGATTCACTCTTATTGAAGTGGAGAACGCAGAACGCTTTCTGCTCAGGGGTCTCATCTCCTCTCAGACTGAAGGGAGCCATCTTCCACTGACAGTCAGAAACTCTATGACCCCCTCTTTCAGTTGGATTGTGATTGGTTCCTAGGCGCCTCACGGTTGTAGAAATATGGCGCTTTGAAATCGGATGAATGTTTTTGAATCACCCTGTATTCTGCATTTGTCCATGGCTTTTTATTGACTGTTACTGTATATCGTAGCTGTTATCTCCATTTTTGCCCTTTATGTTGTGTCAAAATTTCATGATGAACGGAACAACAGAAATGGTCCAAAATCCCTTGAAAAAAAAATTTATCCATTTGCTTCTATTAAAAGTTAAGACTGTTTTTCCTTCTCCTGTAAAGTTGCTTTGTTGGAAATACGAGGTTCTGTTCTGACAGTAGCGATATTCATCTTCTACACTTTTCTGTGATTTTTTTATTTTTTTATTTTTTTGGTATTTAGTCTTTAATTTCTTTGTTTTGTTTTTGTCTGCATTTTTCAAGATTTGTCTGCATTTCTGCAAGATTCATCCTTTTCACCATATGTTTTACATTTAAACTTGATGCTTGATTAAACTGTTGCCCGACAAGTGCGACAATAAAATAATAAAAAAGTCTTAAAAAGTGTTAAATTGAACTTTTACCACAAGAAATTTCAGAATTGCAGCATGTGACCTTATAAAGGCAGTGCTGGAAGTTTTTCTGTGTGGTGCAGCTGGAGCTGGTTTGCGTGTTTATCTGTCTCTGTGTTGGATAATAATAGTTTCCCTTTCCGTAGCAGTCAGTGTGCGCCGGTCACTGTCTGTCTGATGATGTGCCATACGAGGGAAGTGGTTCTTCTTTTAGCAGAACGTCTTGTGTTGCTCTTAAGCGTATTTCCTCTTTCCCTTCATCAGTGCGGCTTTGCCACCAGCTTTTACGTAATCAGCCCTTCCAGTGAAACATAGGCTACGTTCACTCAGCAGGTAAAAGTGGTCCAAATCTGATTTTCTCACCAAATCAGTTTTTTTTTGTTTGTCTGTTCAGATTATCTTTTAAATGTGGTCTGTATGAGACATCAGTCTGAACAGATCAGCTCCTAAACTGACCCTCAAGCACAAAGGAGCAGTGCGTCACGCTGCCTCACGGCTCATCCAGAGGTAAACAATCACGACTGCCAACGCCAGTCGCTCCCGGAGGATCAGCTTCATCTTCACCAGCATCACAGGAGCCATCATGAAGCTTCACTGACTGACAGCTGGGCTCATCACCCAGAATGTGTTGGAGCTCGGCGTAAAAAGGGCGCGGCCACTTCTTTGGTTCGCGTCCTCGGATTCTTTAAACTTTGCTTTCAGACTTTTAACTGTTCTTTGACGCTGCAGCCTCGTTCTCCTGCAGCCGCGTTCGGACTTTTCTTTAGAAATCTCTTCAAACACGGAGGGTTTGGATCAGTCTCTTCTACTTTTTTGTACAGAAACATCAGCCTAAATGTTTATTATTGAGTCTCAGCAGCTCGAAATGACGAATGTGGAGTTGGATTGACGTAAAAGTCACATGAATTCCAAAATGTCTGTTCAGACTGAGTCGCATTGCCGCAGATCGGATACGTATCGGATTTCAGTACCACATATGAAAGCGTCTTAAATCAGAATTGAAAATGTCAGATTCAGTGTGTTTATCAGTTCACACTGACACACAGACACACATCAGTGTCACATACAGAGAAAAAGGTCAGATTTGGGCCACTTTTACCTGCTGTGTGAACAAAGCCATAATGTACACTGTACGTACAGCAGCTACCTGCTCATCCAGCGTTTCATCTGAAATCAGAGGTATTAATATGGAGTTTGGCTCTGTTTTAATTGTAGAATTGATCAGATTTGAATGTTCACTGTAGCCTTAGTTGTTACTCTTCTTTTAGCCATAAATCCTAAACTGTGGAGTTCACAGTCCCCAGATCCCAACCCAAACTGAACACCTGTGGGAGATTTTGGGCCAGGTAAAAGCAAAAAAAAGAAGTGTAATAACTGCAGCAAATATTGAGTTAAATTTGAGAATTAAAATATAAAAACGGTAAAATCATTTGAATATTCAGTGCCACTTTCAGGAAACTAAAATACGCACGGTTAATTTCTGTTGTTTTTCACTTGTTTTTAAGGTGTGCTCTGGTAGAACGTGATTTTTCGAGAGGGTTAAAAGTGTAATGAAGTAGAATCTGATGCATCATCACTCCTTCACTAGTAATAATTAACTGAAACGACAATGACGAGGGTTAAAAAGTTGCTGTTGCTCTGCTCTGCTGCACCGCTAGTCACCGACGCATTCAAACGTCCTCTGTAACACATTCAGGGTTGCCAAATTGGTCAGGATCCCCTGATTTTATGCTGCTTGCTATGAAAACAATAACTTATCAGTGCAGTTTTCTTCGTTAATTGTAGTTTTTCATAGTTTCGTAATAAGTAAGTAAATTTCATAAGTGTCACAAATAAGTAAAATAAGTGATCATTGTTTGTGCAGCCTTTAATTAAGAATCAATTAATAATAATAATAATAACAAGAAATCTGTTTTTATTTAAAAGTGAAATATTCCGTAGGCGTGGCCCTAGTAACGACCTGTTCCCCCATCAGGCCAGCTGATATCAGACGACATTTCTGAAGTCATCAACAGATTCAGTCAGAAGTTCATCACACCTTACAGCAACCAGATGGCCACTAAGACAGCCAGCGCCCAGTATGATGACAGCTATTTGGGTAAGCCTCCCAGTCTGAGTCCTCCTCTACCATTACAGTGAGTATGTGGTAATTACTCTGAAAGCTCTCGTCTCTCGTTCAGGAAGGTTGAAGGTCAGCAAGTCGGGGCGCACCGTTAATTTTAGTGCTGGAGGAAAAAATGTGCTGTTTTTAGTGACCTTATTCATGAACAACTTGGCTTTCTTGAACTAATCTTTTTTGGGTTCACCATAATTGAAAGATGTGTTCTGCCCAGCTTAGAGCCAATGTGGACAGCCCTGGATAGTAATGTCTGTTAAAAGGGTTTAAAAGTGGTTTTAAGTAGGGGGAAAAAGGCCAGCTGCCACATTTCAGTCCAAAATATGACTTTTGAGATCCATTACAGGGTTCTGCAGTGCAAGCAAAATGCTCCCATATGAGAACAGATTTTGACCTGGCTTACAGCTTCATTATGCATCAATACAAACCTGCAGATTGTTTTATCAGTGATGTGTATGACTGGATGAATGCTGCTATGTTTACAGGGCCTGATGAGAAAAGTAGCCTGTTAGCATGTCACAGGAAGCCCAGTTAACCTGCTAAGACAACAATAATGTACTTGCATACTCACTGTCAGGTCTAGGTGTAATTAAGAAATGCTTGTTTACATCGTCACTTACGACTTCTGCCTTTTCTGTGGTTTTATGGCAGTGAATGTAAATCTCAGGGGCTGTTTGATTTGCTGCATAGTGTCATAACAGAAATGGCCAATAAATGGCCAGATGTGTATTTGCAGTGAACTGCATCATGTTTTTAGGCCAGTACAGCCCCAGTAAATTAGAGACAGGAGTGTTGATTGCCATGATGGATGCTAAAAATATATGTAGTCTTACACAAAAATCTCCTGAATGAAGCTTTAGATTGTTTGCATTGAGAAGTTAAAACTAGAGAAGGTGTAACTCAGAGGTGAGCTGTAAAGATTGCAGTGCCAGTGCTGGTTGAAATTAAAATACAGTGGAAATGCTCACACAGATGCACACTTATAACTGACAGTGGACATTCCGGTTCTTATTGGCGAGATTAGTTAGTTCAGCAAGAACCAGTTTTTTGGCAGCCAAATGACTCTTCACTGACAGAAAACAGACTTGCAGGCCAAACTAATAAGAACTGCTGGTACAAAAGCACACAGTGTGTTAATTAGATAAAAGCCCAGTTCTAAACGATTTGGGACAGTATGTAAAACGCCAGTAAAACTGAAACAGTGATTAGTAAATTATGTTTGACTTATATTAAAAAAAATACACCAATTAATGTTTTACCTTATAAATATTAATGCTTTGCTTGTGTACACTCATTTCAAATTTGATGCCAGCAATGTAATAAAAGAAGCTGAACTTGAATTTTTGAATTTTTGAATATTTTTGTCTACTGGAAGTCGACCCATTTTTCCACAAATCTGGGCTATAAACTATGAACAGATGGCGTCTCTTCAGTGATCTGCTCTGTAAAAATTATTTTTATAAAATAATACAAAGAGCCTCTAAGATTTTTGGCTTTCGGCAGTAAATTGTAAGCATATAGCAATATGTATGATCATAAAACACATTTTCAAGTGTTAATTTGAGGGGAGCTTTTAAAATAAATAAATAAATAAATAAATAAAATAATTTACATTTATTTCATTTAGTTACTGAATAAATTGCCTTACGATTTGGTCATGTAAATTCAGATGGACAAACCAAAATATACCCTGGTCAATAAGAGGTTAACAGCACTTAATAATCGTTTGGGTCCAGTTTTGAAATACGTGCAGAATGCTTGTTGGTGTTGACATGTTGACATAAGCATGCACGTCCCTGCGACTAAAAGTCAGCATGTGTTGCTCCAAAACATGTGTATCATTCAGCATTAATAGAGCTTTCACAGATGTGCAGGTTAACACCCCCCCCATACCATGACCGACACTGGATTTTGAACAGTGGTAACAATCTGCATGGTCATTTTATTCTTTGGCTCAGAGAACAAGTCCTTTGTTTTCATAAACAGTCTGAAAGATTGGCTCGTCAGACCACAGTACACGTTTCCACTGAGCATCAGTCCATTTCAGATGAGCTCGAGCCCAGAGAAGTCGGCAGCGTTTCTGGGTGTTGTTGATATAGGGCTTCCACTGTGCATGGACGTTTGTGAATGCAGCAACAAATAGTGTTTACTGACAACAGTTTCAAAGTATTGCTGAGCCCATGCAGTGATATCCATCACAGAAACCTGCCAGTATTTAAATGCAGTGCCATCTGAGGGGTTGAAGGTCACAGGCATTCAGTTGTGGTTTTTGGCTTTGTCATTTATGCACAGAGATTTCTCCAGATTTCCTGAATCTTTTCATGATATTATGCACTGTAGAGGGTGGAAATACCTCAAATCCATGCAGTCTCTGGCCGAGGAATCTTATTTTTAACTGTTGGATTTTTTGCTAATGCATATTCTGTCAAACTGACCTCGGTCAGTCCTTGTTCATAAAGGACTCTCACTTTTACATAGGATGCTCACTTTTATACCCAAACATGATTTCATCATCTCTTTTAAAATGTTTTTTTTTGAACATTTCACATTATTCTTGGTCTCAAATAGCTTCTGTCCTAACCTTTTTTGGAATGTGTTGCGGGCATCAGTTTGAAAAATTAAAGAAATGTATAAAAAACAGTGAAGGTGATGAGATAAAACCTTAAATATCTTGCCTTTGTACTATTTTTGTTCAAATACAGGTCAAAGTGGATTAATAAATCAGTGCTTTCTGTTCGATTCGCATGTCAAATACTATCCCACTGTTTTTGAAGCGGAGTTGTAGAAGACAGGAACACAGATGAAATTAAAAAATTGCAAGAAAAGAACATAATAAATACTGAAATGACTGAAAATGACGGTTCCTGGTTTTGTTCACGTATTGTGAAGGTAAGAGCTTGGACAGTTTAGGAAAAGTTTGACTGCTGAAATGTCCTCTCTGACTGAAAAAAGAGGGAATGATAGTAAAAAAAAATATATATAAATTTTGCTCACACAGATTTTTTATGGCAAAAAAATGCCACATTGTGTGAACAGATCCTCTCATCCATTCATTCCTATGATGAATATTGAATTTTCACACTTTTGTTGAATAACCACATTGTAAATCTAGTTACTTTGGCTGTAGTTTGTTAAAACGAGCTTACATTAGTTCTTCATTTCACACAACAGTCTCAGACTAGAACTAAATCCTTTAATTACTGACTGTTGCGTTAAAAGCAGAGTGTTCCTGCCTCTCCAGACTCCGCTGAGTCAGAGCCTTCAGGATTAGCTTCTCAGACAAATATAAGACAGATATCGTAACTACACAGGTTAAAAACAGTTCAGAAGGACTGAAACATTTCAGTAAAATGAATCAAATAACTGACTCTTTGGAAAGAGCTGTGACTGTGTTGTGATGATGTCCTTGTGTTTTGTAGGGTACTCTGTGACGGTTGGTGACTTTAATGAGGACGGTATGGATGGTAAGAGTTTCAGTAGCATCTTAAAAACCTCTGACGTAGTAATTACAGCTTTGGCTTTTAGCTTCCAAGGTTTTTGAAGACCAGTCATCCGTTACTTTCAGAGCGGCTGCTTAAAGGGCTCATATCCTACATTACATTTTACTTTTATTTTATTTTTTCCACTGAGGGCCACTTATAGTAGATTTAGGGTTTATGTAACAGTCGTAATTCATTGTTTCATTTTCTGTATCCCTTAGAATTAAACAGGCTGTTTTTGTTACTGTGGGTTACTTAAATGAGCTCTTTTCTGATTGGCTGCCCTGTAAGGAGAAAAAGCCAACCTGAAATGCTGCTTATAGCTTCGCCGTGAGTGGACGGGACTAAACAGCCGTAGAGGCTGAATAGGTGGATATAAATGTAAATAATTTGGTTGTTGTGACATCACAAAAAATCATTCAAAATGGACTGTTTTTGAAGTGTAGCTTCCATATATGGACTGTAGTTAAGTGTGTAGTGCATAGAGCGTCACACTGTTCTATTGGACGAAAATAATCAAAGAAATTTGTTTTTTACATTTTTTTTTTGTTTTGTTTTTTTCATGTTTTTAAAGGGCCCATATCTTGGAAAACTGACTTATCCTCATTTTTTTTTTTTTTAAATAAAAGAGTTCGATGATGTATATAAACATTGCTAAAGTTTGGAAACATGCTCCATACCAAAGCCCATATATGGAAGCTGTTTTGAAATTATTGCGTCTGTGATGTCACAAAAAAACAGCACATTTGTGTATATCCACCTTTTCATCCTACAGCAGTTTAGCCCTGCCCACTCACACTGAAGTTATTAGGAGTGTTTCCGCCTGCGTTACTGTTTGAATGAGACGCAATACAGGACAGCCAATCGGAACAGAGCTCATTTACGTACATCAGTCTTAAAGGGACAGTAACAAAAACAGCCTGTTTAGTTCTATAAAGAGAGGTTGGAAAATGGCCATGTCATTGTTGTACAAACTCACAAAAGTATTATAAAAGGACATCAGGGGAGAATAAAGTGCAAGAATAATGTAAGTTAAGAGGTTAAAATGGTAGAAATAGTGGTTAAATATACATACAGTTTCCAGGCAAACGACCCTGTAATTCGGATTATTCCGAGGACCTTTTAATAATCCTGTAATAAGTGTTTTTTCTGCCATGTTGTATTGTTTCTCTTAATTTTCATTTAATATTGATATGAATTACATTCATAAAACCACACGAATGTCTTAAGTGGATCTCAGGGAGGAAAAATGTAGGATATGAGCCCTTTAATGCTCATCACTCAGCTCAGTAGCACAGTAGAGGTTAATAATACTAATAAAAATATAATAATAATGTTATTATACTTGTTACTACAGATATGTAATGCTAGAGGCCCAAAATGACCGAAATTCACTTATTATTGACCAGCATAAATTTAATTGATGATCTTTGTCTGGTATTTTCCAGCAGATCTGAACTGGTACATTAGCAGAGAGCTTATTTGTGTCTGTACTGCAGAGTGAATCAGAGCCAGTGTTTCTCAGTAGACCCTCCATAGTGTCTCACTCTTTTTCACTCCCTCTGTTCTCTCTAGATTACGCCACTGGAGTTCCTAGAGGGGAGAAGGCTCTGGGCTATGTGAGTACATTGATTTTCTAACAGAATAAATATACCTGATGGATCTTGTGGAACAGCAGACTCAGCCCCGCCTCTTATCTCGTCTTGTCATGTTTCGTCAGGTGAACATTTTTAATGGGAGAAACATGGAGTCCATGGTGAACTTCACCGGCCAGCAGGTGAGTGGGCCGAACGCCCTGCCTTAGCACACATCCCTGGTTCCACAGTTGATCTGGTTGTGTTTTGCGTCTTGCTGAGTGGAGTGACTGAAATGGTTGTGGGAGCTTTTTGATAATGTAAAATATAAAAGATTTTTCAAAAGTAATAGACAGATTATAATTATTCACATATGAGTATTATATGGTGGATGAACAGTTTGGCTGTGTGTCTGTGTCTGTGGGTGGCTTTGAGGTGTCGGCTGATGGGACACACACAGCTGAAGTCTGTTTATATCATGAGAACATAAAAAAATAATCATTGGGAAAGGGAAAAAGTACATATGTCGCAGAAATAAATTAAAAACAGATAAATCCAAATGTAATAGATAAAGCAAATAAAGCCTGAGGGATTGGGCCTGAGAGCAGCCTTGGCCTTCAGCAGTTTACATAATATTTTACTCTGTGGTTTGGAAATAAAGGTGGTAAAAATAGCCTGACTCTTAGAGATAATGGTGTGCAAATCAAAAATTTGAAATATATGGGAAGGGCAAGGAGGGGTCAACACCTGGCTCCTCCTTGCCCTTCTCATATACTTTTAAAATAGAGCATACAAAGCATGGATTTTTGTGGGTTTGTTAGGGCCTGCTCAAGATTAACGCTTGATGCTGGAAAGCCTCAGTCTTCAATTACAGAATTGTGCCTTTTTTCTGCCAATACTGGTGTTCTGAGTTTTTAGTACTGTGTCGAGAGCAAAGCTGCGAAGACTTCATTCCTCAACATGATCATGGAGTATCTTTACAATCCTGAAACCACTGAGGTCACCACACCTATAGACACAGATATCTGTAGCTGTCCATGCAGTGTGTTTTTCCGGTGTTGTATGGTCTGGTATGATTACAAACCTGCCCTTAGCTTAGTTACTCTTCTTGCAGGGGTACCACACGTACCAGGATGTATGTGTGGAGCTAGAAATTGTGCAGAAATCTAAATGGTCAAACACAATCTTTATAGAATCATCACACATAGTCACTCGAGTCAGACGACATCTAGAAAAGAAAGGCTCGGTTTTCTAAGTAAGACTGGGCAAGCCTGGTTCTGCTGGCTGCACAGCATTTGTCACACAAATATCAGTGGCATTTCAGCAGTGGGGACACTGTCATTCCTGTAGTGTCCAAAAGATAATTTAAATTTTCCTTCTTATTCAAACTCCTCCTTTTATTGTATTTATGAACCTTTTTTAACACCTATAGACTTTGTCCCATATGAATTCCAGCTTTACTTATACATTATCATTTTAAAATTTAGCAATAGAACATGAGAGGGAGGGTGTTATTGTGAAATAACATCACGGCTGTGATTTGGTCGCCGTAGATCATCACAGCCGTGATGTTATTGGCGATAACACACTCCTCGAGTGTTCTATTGCTTTTATACAACAGTTGAATAAATAAAGTAATAAATTAATAAACTGGGCCGTGAACGCGGCGTTTAATATGTTTTAATGTTCACAGTTCCTTCACCAAATTATAGTTCCTTAACAAGCAGCTTGTTGCTACGTCAGAGTAACGAGCTCCGCCCACTCGCTGCTCAGTCTGCTGCAAGACTCGCCTTTTGAAGTTCAGACTGAGCCATAAAACTGCCCCAATATCAAGTTCAGCTCAGTTTTGTCAGTTTTTTCCAGATCAGTATTAATGTTGTTTTGTTCCAGCCAGTCTATAAAGCATCTTACAGCCCGTTTAGTTTGGCGAATGGTGTTGGGTTCATTTCTGGCTGATTCCAGGTTGTTTAGCTGTCCATCTGTCAGAGCTGCCGACTGAAAAGCTGCTCAGTGGTGATGACAGTTAGGGAATTTAGTGTCGTCTCATCTTCAGAGTCTGACCAAATCGGCTGGAGGTCAAATGTGATCTTAAAAGTGTCCATTTTCTGTTTGTGGCAAAGTAAGAAGTTAGAGGTTCACTATCTATGGACTTCCATGAACTTCTGCTAGCATCTCTGAAATGATTAAGGCCAAAAACCCCTGAAGGTTCCTCACTGGATAACAGTGTCATACAGTGTTAGAAATGACACAAGTAAGTCTGGTAGAGAGGCTTAACTATTCCACACATTTTGAGGCAGGTGTGCTGCCTTTACCTCGTAGCTCCAGCTCCCAAACTATAGAAGCAAACGAACGTCTTGGCTGATTGATGGCATCTATGTTAAGGGGGAAATCTGTAAATTCAATATTTTATCAAACTGTTATTTTAAACTGGACTGCATGGATGAACTCGGCTGCAGCAAGCAGGCCCAGCCACACGGTTTCAGTGAGTTAGCACTGGCCTGCTAATGCGAGCCTGAGCTGCGGCTGCTGCGGGCCTGCCCCAGTTTCCTTTACTATTTGTTTACAAGCCAGCAGTGCATGTCCTAAATCTGCTCACACATCTGGAAACTATTTACAGACATGTTTCTGGGAGGCAAACGTGAGAGCGAGAGCGGGGAAAAGACTCGGAGGGACGGGAGGGGAGCAGTACTGCTGAGTCAGGATGAGGAAAGGAGCCCAGAGCCCTGCTGTATGAGGGCTACTGCGTTACAGAGCTGATTCATTGTGGTGTGGGTGTCTATCTGGGATGAAACCCAGCATTCAGCCTGACCACAGGAACAGAGCCAGACCGAGAGAGACAGAGCCCGAATGACCGGGCTGTTTTTATCGTTGCTGTGGTGCTGCAACATTGTGTTTGTTAACTCGGTGGAAAAAATCATATTTTTCTCTTTTGTTGACCAATTCAGGCTCCGCCCACAAATGCACGAATGTAGCTACTGTTGTTGGGTTGGACGAGAAAGCTTGTAAGAATCCTGTTCAACCTAATGAGGCTCAGTTTATATCACAATACCTACATTTAGAGTCGGTTATTCATTCAACCTAATGAGAAACTGTAGAACAGACACAGTTTATATCACAATACCTACATTTAGAGTCGGTTATTCATTCAGCCTAATGAGAAACTGTAGAACAGACTCAGTTTATATCACAATACCTACATTTAGAGTCAGTTATTCATTCAGCCTAATGAGAAACTGTAGAACAGACTCAGTTTATATCACAATACCTACATTTAGAGTCAGTTATTCATTCAGCCTAATGAGAAACTGTAGAACAGACTCAGTTTATATCACAATACCTACATTTAGAGTCAGTTATTCATTCAACCTACTGAGAAACTGTAGAACAGACTCAGTTTATATCACAATACCTACATTTAGAGTCAGTTATTCATTCAGCCTAATGAGAAACTGTAGAACAGACTCAGTTTATATCACAATACCTACATTTAGAGTCAGTTATTCATTCAGCCTAATGAGAAACTGTAGAACAGACTCAGTTTATATCACAATACCTACATTTAGAGTCAGTTATTCATTCAGCCTAATGAGAAACTGTAGAACAGACTCAGTTTATATCACAATACCTACATTTAGAGTCGGTTATTCATTCAGCCTAATGAGAAACTGTAGAACAGACTCAGTTTATACCACAATACCTACATTTAGAGTCGGCTATTCATTCAACCTAATGAGAAACTGTTTAAAAGCAGCTCTAGGTCAATAATGATATGATTATATGATATATCATAGTCTCTACCCTGCAGCAAGTAAGCCTGTTCATAGTTTTAACATTTAGCGTGGCCTCCCATCTAGGTAAATCCAAATGAAGCATTTTCCGAATTTATTTTGCGCTCTAGAATGAAATTAATTCTCCTCCACCCTCCAGTATAAGTGGTAGAGGTGGGAGCGGCTGCTTGATTTATGCTCTGCCTTTATTCCAGAAAAGAGTATTAAAACATGTCATTCAATTTATCTGTCTTGCTGTCTTAATGAATGCAGTGCATAGTTAGCATTATTATTAGCTTGGGAGTTCACAGCCAACAGTCAACTTCGCTGCACAAAATAACACGTTTTTTCCATAGTTTGTTCATATTTGAATGTTCGGAGTTGTTCACCTGAGGAGGACAGTACATCTCCACTGGAATTTAGCCACAGAGAACAAAACTACATTCTTCTGTGCGCCTTCATACTGTGGCGTCTGTCATGAGCTCCACATTTTAAGGGGAACTCTAGAGGCGTGGCATGCAAAGTTGCACCTCATGCGCCACCCACCAACCGCTTAAACGGACATTTGTTAATGTTGTTTTTTTGTGCTTAAAGGGGAACTCCACTAATTTTTCAAAATTTCTGCATAATTCAGTGTGTGAGACATAAGCAGAGAGATTCAGAGTGGTTTGGTGTGAAATGGTTCAAGTGTCTTTACAGTGGTGGTGTTAGGAACCAGGGGTCGCCATGACTACAACACAAATATAGACATTTTATTTACTATCCAAAACCACCAGTGAACCTACATGAGTCTTCTGAGTTTATATGGAATGTTGATGGTGGAAAAATAGTGGGAAAAAAAGTTCTTTGGGGACTATTTTGCCTCACAGCACCCTTCATGTGTCCTTCCACCATGAATAGATTAAAATATGCTTTAAACCAAAACTTTATCACACAACTATCATAAAACAGTGCCTCAGACATCAGGCAGTGAATTCATGACCATTCCATGTAATAACTTTCTGTGAGGGAGCTTTTAGGCTACGTTTACACAGCAGGTAAAAGTGGCCCAAATCTGATTTTCTCACCAAATCTGATTTTTTTGTTTGTCTGTTCACATTATCTTTTAAATGTGATCTGTATGCGACATCAGTCTGAACAGATCAGCTCCTAAACCAACTCACATGCGCAAAAGAACAGTGCGTCACGTGGCTCGTCCAGAGGTAAACAGTCATGATGGCCAGCGAACACCAGTCGCTCCCGCAGCTTTCAGTTTCGTCTTCGCCAGCATCACAGGAGCGATTATAAAGTTCCAATGACAATGGCTGTCATGACTGTTTACCTCTGGACGAGCCACGTGAACCTCTGTTCTTTTGCGCACGCGGGTCGGTTTAGGAGCTGATCTGTTCAGACTGATGTCGCATACAGATCACATTTAAAAGATAATGTGAACATCCAAACCAAAAAATCGGATTTGGTTAGAAAATCAGAATTGGGCCACTTTTACCTGCTGTGTAAACATAGCCTTAGAGGTGGACGTCTGGTTCCTATCACCACCACTGTGAACGATTCTGACTCGGTAAGTTTCTCTAGAACAGAGCGTTTCACACCAAACCACTCTAAATGACTCTGTTTACATCTTAATTGCTTAATTATGCAGAAATTTTGGAAAAAATTTTTTTTATAGAGTTCCTCTATAAAAAACTTCTTTTCCTCAGGATACAATAACACTTTTATGTTGATTCATGCTGGACTAATAAGCAGGTAGAGCTTTGAGCTGCTAATCACTGATTGGCTGAGAGTCGTATGTATCGTTATTTGCAAATGGTCAATTCAAGTACTTCATGATTTTGATTTTTAGGCCAGATATTCTGTTTCAGAGCCTCAGTTTCAACTTCCTTTTGTCATTTTGCTCACATATGCAGTGCATAAGGGGCCGAAATACAGTCCCTCTTTAGCCACAGCGCAGCAGATAAACAATTATTATACATATTATGAAATACGAATGGTGCGCAGCTTCACTCTTACACAACTCAGGCCAAATAACAAACAGTGTAATTACTGACATTATAACATGGTAATTAAACACAACATGTAGTGACTCTGAATTTATGAACTGTTGTTTGTCCCTCTCAGATGGCTGCTTATTTCGGTAATGCAGTGGCAGCGACTGACATCAACAAGGACGGGTGAGTAATGAGGAATGATTCGATCTCTCTTCATTATTTCTTAGAAAGAGGAGGTTTAATTGTTTCAGTTTAATTATGAGTATGTGAGACTGCTGGCTCAGTTAATCAGACAGGATGTGGTCACATAAGTTTCAGGATGAACATCACAGCTTGACTGATATGAAAAGAACATGATGCCACCAGTTTCAAAAAGCTAAAATCTTTAATGACCAACATCATCAGTGGGCGCAGTTCAGTGTGATCAAAAGTGAACTGACTGATATGATTGTCAGGTATTATAACGTCAGTTTCCAGTTGTCTGATGTTTTTAACAGAATCTCACAGGATCTCATGTAACATAGATATTATGGTGTAGTGGGCGGAGCTTTCCAGCATCCTTCTTTATTTTATTCTTTTTTCATCACGCACACTTTTGTTGATTTTTCCAAGTGTAGATTCAAAAGTGAAAGTAAAAAATCCTCTACAAGGAACTACAGGAAACTGCTGATTTTAATGCATAGATACTGTTTATTTGCTGAATTTTACACATTTACAGTATAAAATGTGCCATAACTTTTGAACAGGCCACATTTTTATGTTTCAGTTTTCCCCCCAGTATAATAAATTCAGGAAATAAACAGTAAATTAGTATTAAAATGTGCAGATGTGTGTCTCAGTAGAGGATTTGTTCACTTATTTTCACTTAAAAAATCAGCAAAACGTGTAATTTGACCTCCCAAATTGTTGCATATGACTGTAATTTATCGTATTAAATGTTATTCTCACACTACAGATTAGATTTGGATGCATTTTGCATGTTTTTGTTTATTTTTTATGGTTTTTTTTTTATGGTTTTTATGGTTATGGTTATGGTTTACCACTTCAGCCTGTGTTGGTAAAGAAGGAGAAGGAAGAAAAAAAAAACTAAAATTCTTGCAAATGATCCTTTTCCTCCTTGTATTAAACCTTTGTGTTCATTACAGTGTGAAATAAGTCACCCATAAATCTCAATATCATCTGATCTTATTAATCAGGCGATATGTCAGTCGGCCCTCATGTACCTGAACTAATTCCGCTCCCGCGCTCTGCAGGTTTGTGGATCTGTTAGTTGGAGCTCCTCTCTTTATGGAGCGCGGTTCTGATGGTAAACTGCGCGAGGTTGGACAGGTGTATGTTTACCTGGGCAAAGGTGGGTTCTCCTTCAACCCCCCATCAAAGCTCACAGGATCAGAGATTTACGCTCGGTTCGGCAGCGCCATCACCAGCCTGGGGGATCTGGACATGGACGGCTTTAACGGTACACATTCATCATTCATCATGCTGACGCACGCTTCACATCTCCATAGGAGCCAGAAACATCAGCGTTTAAAAATATGTGGCCATTAAAGGGGAATTCCACCAATTATTCAACATTTCTGCATTCAGTGGTTGAGATGTAAACAGAGTGATTCAGAGTGGTTTGGTGTGAAATGGTTCAAGTGTCTTTACAGTGGTGGTGATAGGAACCAGGGGTCACCATGACTACAACACAGATATAGACATTTAATATAATCATTTGTTTTCATATTAACCCTTTAATTATGTAGAAGATTCAGAAAAATCAGTGGAATTTGCCTTTGATATGTTAAGTTTTTATATCATCGAAATAAAACAGTGAAAAACAGCATATCTCCAATATGGTCATTTTTTTTTTTGGACAGTCTCGATATGTTAATATGTTATGTTTTTATATGTAATACGTTAAGCTTTGCATAAATAATGATTTACACTTTTTTTTTTTATTTCCAAACTGTTCTTAAAAGCTAATATTGACACTCTTTTGGTCCAAAGGTCCTTTGAACACCTGGAAAAAACATATATATATATACTGTGTGTGTGTGTGTGTGTGTGTGTGTGTGTATTTATCGCTGCTGTTGGAAGAAAACCTTGTGTCTCCATTTTTGTCGTTTTTCAGTTGTTGACATAATTTGAAAATGCCTGTTTCCCTTTACATTGTGTGTAAATTTCATGATGAATGGACCAAAAGAAATTACCCAGAATTACTTGGAAAAAATTCTGGTTCCATTGACTTACATTAAAAGTAAAGTAGGTTTTTTCCTTCTCCTGTAAAGTTACCATTTTGGACATACGAGGTTTTTTTTCCGACAACAGCGATATATATATTTAGACATCAGGTGGCGTATTTATAATGATTTTATGTTAAACTTTCTGTGAGGGAGCTCTTCACATATCTGGTTCCCATCACCACCACTGTGAAAAATGACTTTGTTTACATCAGAACTATTTAATTATGTTGAAAATTTGAAAAATCTGTGGAATTCTTATTGAAATGAAGGGTCTTTTAAAAATAGCAAAATATCCAGCAACCTCATCCAAGACTGTTATTTATTATTAGACTGTTATGTTAAAACATCCTTAAGCTTTAGTATTACTACTATTCTTGTTATTGTTACAGATGCTATTATGAACACTACTACTACTAGTAATAATCTGAATATTATTTGTTGATATTCATATCAGTAATTATCCCCAGTGTTTGTGATCAGTATGATCTCAGTGTTTTTGACTATTCTCCCTCCTCTATCTAAGATGTGGCCATCGCTGCGCCGTATGGAGGTTCTTCACGGCAGGGTCTGGTCTACATCCACAACGGGCGTCCCTCAGGGCCCGATCCTCAGCCCTCTCAGGTTCTGGAGGGAAAGTGGGCGTCGGCCTCAATGCCTCCCAGCTTTGGATACTCCATGCACGGAGCCACAGATATAGATCAGAACGGATACCCTGGTAAGATCCACAGCGGATTGCTCGCCAGTTAAACGAATTTCTTATTAATTTTACTGTTATATTGACACTTTGGTGGCTTAACGGGAGAGTAAAGATCCACATTTAGTACAGAACACTCTCGTTCATATATGATGCGATATCATTTTAAATGAGTTCTGTAGGAGCTTAGTTTGTGTTATTAATACCCGTCAGGTCGGCTGCTTTAAGTTTGACTAGTTTGATGTAGGAGGCGTTCCTTTTTCTTTCTCTCTTTCTCCCATCCCCTCTTATTTCTCTCCCTCTTTCTCATGTTGTACAGATCTGGTGGTCGGTGTGTTCGGAGCTGACAAAGCTGTTCTGTACAGGTACGCTCCCACTTTGAAGCCGCATGTGTCCGTTTATGATCGGGGCCGGATAAGCCGTGAAATGTGTTTCTTATTTAACCCCACAGCGTTTAATTGGTTTTTATGTGCAATTAGTGAATTTTGCTATAGCAGTTGTTGCTTGTCTTATAAAACGCGGCCTGAAACTGAAGAAAACTCCCGTTCAGACGTTCCTGCCTGCAGACACACCTCGGCCCGAGCACAGTCTGTGTTCTTTAGCTGTGACTCTGTCTGGCTGGGCGTTTGTTGGTACAGTAGGCGGGGTTTGATAGGGAGTGACTACACAGTGTGGTGTCGACTGGAGTGAGGTGTTTGACCACTTACTGAGCAATCGTTTACTGAACGGTTCACCTGTTTAGGACTTAATTATAATCAAACAGCACCTAATTAAAGGTAGTGATAAGTGCTACTACTATTATTATTATTAATGTGATTCTTGTTGTTGTTGTTGTTGTTGTTGTTGTCTCTATCATTATTAAAGAAATTGCCATACAGCTTTAATCAATCACAACAACAGCAATAAAAATGTCGGTTATGCTCTATTCTGGATTATACAGTTATGAGTTGGACTCAGTACTTTTATGGTTACTTCATATGAATTACTTCAATGTGATAAAGTATTAACAATTTCAGTTTCTTTGATTTCACCAAATTTGAATACATAAATAGTCTGTTTTATCTGTGTCAGTAAGCCAGTGAGCACACGCTGCTCCAAAATCTAGGCTGCTGTTTTGTTTTGGTTATGATCTCAGACCTGTGTTTGAAGGACTAAGGGTCAGACGTATTGAAGGGGGAGAGCGTTAAGTCTGTGTACTTCCAATCGCTGATTAGTTTATTCTGCTGTTCAGTAGGTTAAACGTCATGTTGGTTCAGTGTGACACAGACGAGTTTATCAAAGAGCCGATATCCCACTTTTTTCTTGTATTTTAGGCCAACTTTTAATCTTTGCGTGAGTTTATGTACCAAAAACAGCCATAATTCTTTTTGCATGGCTTCTCTTTATCCCTTAGAATTAAACAGGGTGTTTTTGGAACTGTAACACTGAAACACTCCTTATAACGCCAACATCAGTGGGTGGGGCTAGACTGCTGCAGGCTGAATAGGCGGATATATGCATGTTTTAATATATGGACTGTGGACTGGGTAGTGACCAGTACTGTTTGAAACTACATCAGACGCTTTTGTTTAATTTTATTTCATAAATTGTATGATATGTGCTCTTTAAACTCTATAAAACAGAAAGAAAATATATATATTGTGTAGTTTATCTCTCACTGAATCCTGTGGTAGTGACTATTTCACTGTATGAGTTCTGCAGCTTGCTTGTGGTGATCAGTCTCTCTGTGTCTGTCTCTCTCTCAGGGCTCGGCCGGTTATCAGCGTGAACGCTACTCTGGACATCAGACCACAGATCCTGAGCCCAGAGGAGAAGACCTGCCAGCTGCCTGGAACCAACACCATGGTGTCCTGGTGAGGAACTCAGAGCTGGAACTTCAGCCTCTTTTACTCAAGAGCTTAAGAGTCACTGAGTCTGAGTTTTATCATCACGGTCATAAGAAAACCTTGAAATCTCCAACTTTCTAGGAGAAGGAAACCCTTCTTTAACATCTGTCAACCCCTTAAACTGCAAGCTTATTACTCAGATATTAATCTTAAGATATCTTATTCACTTGAAATATTAGGTGACTACTATGAATTATTCAGTAACTGTTTATTCAAATCATAAAACTGTTACTTTTATTGAAGTTTAGTAGTGATTACTTTTATTCAGTTCCATTTCAGTCGTTTATATTTATTCCCTATTTCCTTTTTGGGGTTTAATTTCATTCTGTTGTGTTGGTTCGGCTCCTGCTCAGCTTTACTGTTGGTCACATCTCTCTTTTCAGAGTTTTAGCGTTTTATTTAAGACCAAAAGGATCCAAAAGGAGAAGAACAGTGTCAGTTCCAATGCTGATAGATGTACGAAGAAGTTCCACTGCAGTTCGATGAGTTTCTCAGTACTTAAGTAGTTTTTGAGCTGCTACATTTGCTCTTCTGCTCAAGCTGTTTTGGGAAAGCTACACTTCTAAAAATGATGGTTCCTCAAGGGTCCTTCAATAAAGAAAATGGTTATATAGAGAACCAGGAACACTCAAAGAACACTATGCATGATGGAAAATTTGC